ACAACTCCTCATTCTGCTCTAGCAAAAGTTTGCAACAGGCCCATTGCGTATGTTCGCGCTTAAAAATGGCTTCTTGAGGTGCTAATTTTTCCAAATTTTTCCGGGGGAGGGCCCCCGGACCCCCCTTTCTCTGTGGAGTGTCCCCCCGACCCCCATTTGGTTTGTGTAGAGTCCCTTTATACCCAGAGTTACGACAACTCACTTTTGGTTGGGCCAGGGTTGGGCTGAAAGTGGCCTAAAAAAAAATCCAATTCTGATTGGTTCTCGCTCATGGAGGCCGAAACGAGTGCACCAAGATGGCGGTACCTCGTATGTGAACAAGAATAATGAAAATATTACCTAATTGTGGTTTATCAAAAGTAAATTGTTATTTCCATCGGTCCAAAATGAAAATAGATTAAGAAATTATTCACAAACCAATCTCATTTTAGAGTCCCTTTATACCCAGAGTAACGACAACTCGATTATCAGCTGACTGGTAGCCGACCTTGGCTGGCCATGGAGGCCGAAACTAGTGCACTCAAACGAACGATATTGGGGGATAAGGATCAGGAATCCTGCGATGTCTGTCACACAAAAACAACAACATCAACAAATTGATCAATTAAAAAGAAAATGAGATTGGTTTGTGAATAATTTCTTAATCTATTTTCATTTTGGACCGATGGCAATAACAATTTACTCTTGATAAACCACAATTAGGTAATATTTTCATTATTCTTGTTCACATACGAGGTACCGCCATCTTGGTGCACTAGTTTCGGCCTCCATGAGCGAGAACCAATCAGAATTGGATTTTTTTTTAGGCCACTTTCAGCCCAATCCTGGCCCAACCAAAAGTGAGTTGTCGTAACTCTGGGTATAAAGGGACTCTATCTTATTTTATTTCTAATTGATCAGTTTGTTGATGTTGTTGTTTTTGTGTGACAGACATCGCAGGATTCCTGATCCTTATCCCTCAATATCGTTCGTTTGGGTGCACTTGTTTCGGCCTCCATGGCCAGCCAAGGCCGGCTGCGAGTCAGCTGATAATCGAGTTGTCGTAACTCTGGGTATAAAGGGACTCTAGGTTTGTGGGCCGGTTTGGCTGTACATTTCCCGGTGACTTTTTTCGTCCCAGTCCGCCCCTGGGTAACATTTTCATTATTCTTGTTCACATTCGAGGTACCGCCATCTTGGTGCACTCGTTTCGGCCTCCATGAGCGAGAACCAATCAGAATTGGATTTTTTTAGGCCACTTTCAGCCCAACCCTGGCCCAACCAAAAGTGAGTTGTCTTAACTCTGGGTATAAAGGGACTCTATCACATTCGAGGTACCGCCATCTTGGTGCACTCGTTTCGGCTTCCATGAGCGAGAACGATTGAGCGTTTTTGCAGGCAAAGACCCCCTACGAATGAGCAGGCGATCATAGAGCGGGAGTAGCTGGTGGAGCGTGCATGAAGCTCGCTGCTCTCTCCTCTCCTCTACTCTTTGCACATCACATAATGGCGCCAAGCACAAATTTCACTCTCGGAGAAAAATTAAACTGCTCAGCTCAGGGAATTGACCTTTTTGATCGGGATTAAATTTCTAAAAGAGTTCAAACCAAGTACTAACCAGGGTAATTCTCAAAATTCTTTGGCAAGACATTTTTCTGATATAATTTAAGGATTACCTCAGGAGGGAAAATCTTTAGCATATCTGGAGAAATCACAAGCTTGTGTGGGGGCCCCGCAGCGTTCTGAGGCATTGAAATCAAATTCTAAACGTACCTACTTACATTTTGAATTTTGATGGAAAATAAGGGGGGGGAGGGGCTTCATTTATATCTGAGCCATGGGGATGCCAGATGATGAGGGATGAGTTTGAGGGTTTTTGCGCTCAGCAGAGATGTTTTCAGGAGCATTGGGGGAACTAGTTAGGAGGAGGGGGGGAGAAATATTACCCTCTCCTGACTTCAAGAAATATGAGGGCTTTTGCTAAGTTAGCTGTATTGCTAGACTTTCATTGTGGAATTTGTAATTCTACCAAAAATATTTCCATGTGAAGATGAACCATCAAGCTAAAAATTTAACTCAGCATTCGCACAAATTTATAAATTTTTTTTTGTGGCACAATGGTACAACTTCTGGAAAACCTCCTGTTAAAGGTAACGAGGCACTTAGCATATTTCTTGAAAAATTTGCTAAAAAAATATCTTTGCACATTTCTGCTTTTGATAACTTATACCTACAAAAGTACATAACGATCCAAAAAGTGGTGAATTTTACCAGTCAGGCATCAAGGGGTGAAATATGGGAGCATAAATATAGCATTAGGTACCTAAGATGACATTTGAATCAGTGAGTTCGAAAATACATCAACTCGGAAAAAAAATGTTCAGGAAACACCTAAAACTTCGCAGCGGGCGAAGAAGTTAGTTTAAGAAAAACTTTTTTGGTGCCAAAGGACGCAAGTAGTACTCTAGAGACTTTAACGCACCAAGTTTCAGATACTGATTTTTCATAGTCTGCCCTGAAAAATTTATATTTTTTGACCTGAATAACGCTTGAATATTTATATAACTTGTTGGCACAAGGTATACTGAACCGAAAAAAGAAAACTGCATAATCGGATAGTCACCCGTTTTCCTTGATCGGCCAAAAATTGGTATTTCCAATGAAATTCTTCGATTCCTCCCTTTTCCCGTCGCTGTTTCGAGCACTTCCGATTGCAATTTCGAAACATCCTTTTGCGTGCAGATGCTTCTACTTATCCATAAGTGTTACTAAACCGTAAAAAAGTGAAAAAAAACCCGTGTTGGAGTGTTACCGAACTCACTGATTCATTTTACATTATTGGAAACATGATTATTTGGATAGATAAGGTGGGGAGACGGCAGACGATAGGATGGGTTAGAGTAGGTATTGGTTAGAGAGTGCTCGAACTGCTCTGAGTTCCCGTCGCGGCACGCAGCCATCTTGCCTGCTCATTCCGAGGGGGTCTTTGCCTGCAAAAAGTAAACATCCAAACGAATCAGAATTGGATTTTTTTTTTAGGCCACTTTCAGCCCAACCAGAGCCCAACCAAAAGTGAGTTGTCTTAACTCTGGGTGTAAAGGGACTCTACTATTGTTACGAACCGTCCTTTATTAAGCACGTGTTTGACTCAGTTTTTGCATAAATTTACTCAATTTCGCGGAAGAGCGCTCATTTCTGTACATTCTCGGCCATCTTGGTTAGAATTGGAATGTGCAGACTGGCAGTGAAATTTTGTGCGTTAGAAGTTGGTTAGAAGGTTGGCTGCACTTTTGGGGCCTAAGCCCAGAAGCCCTCCATGAACCGATCTGTCGGTACTCTCCCTATACAGGTACTCAATACTCTCTTAATGAAGGCACAGAGAAAAAAAAAAGGAGGTGTTTGCATCTAGAGTACCTGTATAGCGAGAGTATGGACAGATCGCTTCATGGAGGGCTTAGGGCCCTAAAGTGCAGCCACCCTTCTAACCAACTTCTAACGCACAAAATTTCACTGCCAGTCTGCAGATTCCAATTCTAACCATGATGGCAAAGAATGTACAGAAATGAGCGTTCTTCCGCAAAATTGAGTAAATTTATGCAAAAACTGAGTCAAACACGTGCTTAATAAACGTCGGTTCGTAACAATAGTATTAGTAAATCGTTCTGGATAATTGAAATTCATAGGTTGGCTGCATTTCTGGGCCCTAACTTTATTCGCAGAAGCATCGGTGAAGGCCTGATGGATTTTCGGAGTTTCACATCTGTCCATACTCTCGCTCTATGCTCTCGCTATACAGGTACTCTATTTGCATCTTGAGGTTTGTTTACCCTGTGACGTAGGTCGGTAGTCGGTATAACCTGGCCAGCGAAATCCGGAATTCGAAGTATGAAAAACGGACCATAATGTCCCATTTTTTTGCTTAAAGCAACTCATGATATAATTTCAAGCACTTTTTATAGTATGACTTTTTTCCATAAATTACACCATTTCCAAGATAATCGATGATTTAAGTCGCCGTACCGACCTACGTCATCAAAAAAATCCAAGATGCCCGAAATGCAAACACCTTTTTTTTCTCTGTAATATAGTCCTCTAAGGCGTTTGAGTTTAGCAGAGATTCACTCTTGGCCCGGAAGGCTAGACTTACAGAAAATCCTGCCGCAGATCATCAGTAAGCGGGAGCGTGACACCAATGCGCGTATGCTCTCAGCTCTGGTGGAGAAAGAGAGAACTTCAATTGCACTTATGTATTAGCAATTTTGACGCTCCCTCTGATCTGCCGCCATGGCTTCGTGGCACAGCGCTCGCCTCCGGGTCGGAAGGTTCGCGGTTCGCGCCCCGACATGATAAGATTTTGACGTCATTAAATTACACATTATGTCATAAATGCCGCGAGTGGTCGTAAAGAAATACTTTTTTCCATAAAATAAGAGTGAGGCGTGCATTTTTGCGCACGTAATTGAAAAGGGCTCCTCTTGCAGAGAAACCTCTGGACCTAGGGTGTAAGGCCCTAATCTTACGTAGACCGTCCAATAATTTTTTTTAGAGGAAAAAGCAGACTCCGAAGACAGAAATAAATGTAACATTAGTGGGCAGTATAAACAAATAAATGTAAGTATGCCTTTACAAAGGGGCCGTCCGCAAATTACGTACCTAATGCACTTACAGGGAGCCGGGAGGGGGTCCAGAGGTGCCTTACCTATGCCTATACGTAAGCCAAACGCAAAAATTTTGTTTCTTCCAAATTCCGTTAATTTAAAGACTTACTAGTCCAAATTTCGTTTTTTAGACGTTTAATGTTTTTCGGTTAAAATGTAATTTTACTGAACTTTTTGAATTAAAAAACTGCATGTTATTTTTTCAATACAACTGCTATTTTTCATGATCTCCTACCAGCGATTAGTAATGTTTAAAACAATACCGATTTGTTTCAACACCATTTTTTTATTAAATTATGCATTTAAACGATAGAAGAGGGGGGGGGGTCATAAAAATTGGAAAAATTGCCTTTCGTAATTTATGGACGGCCCCAAAGAGTAATTTTGAAATTTCCTATTAGTATTTTTTGTATTCCTTATACGCCTACGGTCGTTTTACTTCGAATTCCGTACCCCATAAATAAAAGAAGAGCAATTGTGCAGATTTTTCTTTTACATAAAGGGACGTTTCACTTTAAAAGATTCCGTCTTGGTCCGCAGGAGTTTCTGTCAGCCCTTCCTTCAGAGCTCAGGGGCTGAATCTCTGCCTGAGGCGAGGACTGACAGAAAATCCTTCTCCGGGTGCGGAGTGCCTAGAGTCTGCAGAAAGGGAACATCGATGCTCCCGACTGCGCACCAGACAGTTTGCGATGGAAATTCGGCAGGATTTTTTGTAAGTCCTGCCTTCGGAATTCAGGAGTGAATCTCTGCTGAACACTCGACTCCTTCGGAATTCAGGAGTGAATCTCTGCTGAACACTCGACTCGTACTCGTACTCTAATCGGATCGGTTGAGTAATCAGGTTCCAGAGGCAAGGGTTCCAGATTGGTCTTGGTACCAGGTATCAACAATCCTTTCTCTCGGTCATGCTCGTCATGCTTCGGTTCTCTTTGACAATTTTTGACTCTGATAAAGTGTATGTGTAAATTTTAAGCGGAGACATCCGCTACCATGTGTGTCAGTGTCATGAACATATCTGTGTCGCTGTAGCAAGTCCTACTGGAGTGTCTTATTGTTAGAAGCACCTCTCAGGCATGCAAGTGAGGCAAGTGCAATCATCTAGCCTCTCACCCTCTCTAATTTCAATACTTCACTCCAGACTCTTGGTCTCAATGATTTCTATCACACTTCAGTAGAATTCGAAGGACTAATTATATTATTTTCCTGTTTATAAGTTTCTGCGTCTTCAGTCAGCCGGAAAACATTGATGAGGTTAATGTATCGTTATGGTACCTTCGTCCTCATTGAAGAAGAAAACTGTTGCTCCTACTTGTAAGCAAGGCTCAAGCAAAGTGAATTTGAGTGAGTATAGTAAAAGTTTTTCTTAAACTCATTACCATAGAGTACAACAGAGTTGCAATGTTCTGGAGCTCCAATGAAGTTAATCCATGAATGGGCCATTCGGAGCCACTTTGCCGAAAAGTGTGAACCCAACAGCATTTCGCACAGGGCAGCATATGAAATAGGGATGGGCGAAAATTGAATTCCAATGTGTTTATTCGAATATTCGAAACTTTTCGAATGCGATTATTAAGTTTATTTGAGAATTCGAATCTTGTGATTGCGAATACTTCAGAAGTGAATATTTGAATATTTTCGATTACCTATTGCTTTGATTTTTTATTTTTTATGCACTATGAGAGATAACTGACACTTTTAACTAGGACGGTCAGTCATTCCCGTGCGGAGTTGTGGACTAGTTTTAATTAATAACGAGATTGACAATAGGGATGGATGGTTATCGAATTTGAATGCGATTATTCGAATTTGCGATTGCAAATACTTTGGAAGCGAATATTCGAATGTGATGCGATTATCTTGGTGCTGATAATTTGAATATCGTATATCCGATCAGTTAAATATTCGACCATCCCTAATATGAAAGAATCGTGGGTCCTCAAGGGGTCTCGAAAATGCTGGATTGCTGATCCCACATCGGTCCCGTACTTTTTGTGCAAGTAGTCGAGGACAAGAAATTTTTTGTGATAGCAATCATGTTTCTTTTTTTTTTTGGTTTTTGTGAAGAAAAGTATCAAGTAAGTCTGTTTTTGTGTAAGTGTGCTCTTTGGCACGCTTTAAGCCCTCCCCATAATAAGGTATTTTTTGTGAAAGCTTGCTGACTTATGAGGAAGCACAGAACTTCTGGAGCCGTGAGTGGTTCCGAGGATTTATTATTTTTTTTTTAAATTCTTAACTATCCTGGCGCATTTTGGCAAATTATGTTGACCAAAGTCAAAACAAATTAAAAAATGTACGAAGCTCCCAGTTTTTAAGAAATAAATTTTATACCTGTATCCTCTGCCTAGAGCTTGGACTCCGCCATATGCCGCAACGGTATCCCTAGTTGCCACACACTAGTCTCAGGAGTACTGGTAATAGCCTCCAAAAATGACTTCACCGGCACTCCAGTACATTGCAACTCTATTTTGCTTCATGCTCATCACCCACCTCTGTACCTCATTTATCAGAGTCCATGTCAAATAAGATGTCCGATAATCATTTTTCTTGGGTTTTCCTTGTTTTGTTATATAAGAGTTGTTCAGCAGCGACGGTAGATGGCGCGAGGATCACACTTTTGTGTCATGCCTCGGGTCATATCCATGACGGCGTTTTAATGCCGTCTTGGATTTTGCGGCATGTTAAGTTGGGTTCACTGCTGAGTGTGATCTTCTGATGAGGTCTAATAAGGCTCAAACCGGTAAAGATCTCTCGGCGTGACTCCAACTTAATATTCCATTGCAAACTGCCTGAGCTGAACACTCTCCCCCCCTCAGTTTCATACTGGTGCGCATTAGAGTTCTAAAAATTTATTTTTGACTCTAATTTTAATTTTTGGTATTTCTTGGCTTTGTTTCCCCGCGAAATGGTGTGGACCCAGCACCATTTCTCCACCTTGTTAAATACATGTCAAATAAGTTTACATACTTTTAGACTGTAACAGAAGATCCGCCATCTTGATCCTTGCATTTACTGCCAATGCTATATAGTGATGTCAGACGATCTTCCGTCGCTGTCCAAAAGTAGGCAAACTTATTTGGCGTGGCCTCACCATTGCACTGTCACTGTACCTATCATGTCGGTTTCCTCAGGGAAATGGAAGAAAAACTTGAGACGGCAAGTCTCAAAACTCCTCATTCAGCACATGGCAGAGCAGAGAGCTAGTAACATGGTGACTTGGCAAGAGAGTGTACAGAGCAGGCAAAAATAAAACAGAAGTACAAGCTATCCACAAGAAATGAAAAAGGTTTTAACACTTCCTCTGGAGGCAAAAATTTTTACATGAACAGATCATGAGTTTTGAAAGTTTGACGTCTCAATAAAAGGGTTTTGAATAAAAAATGTTTACATCTCACAATACCGAAAATGGAATTTTGAATGTTAATTAACTTCCCCTTGAGGCGAAAAAATTTCGCACCACGTGCATACAGAGATTAACTTAACAAACAGGGGTCTACTGGTCCCCTATGTCCCTAATTATCCCCGAATCTGGAAGGGTTTTCCCGATATCCCGAAAGTCGCCAATGTTCTCGTTCAGATCCCCAAAACATGACAAAAATAGTCCTAATCACCGCCATCTTCAAATTTTCCCGCCAGCCGCGGCGGGGCCGTATAACCAGGAATAAAAAAACTGAAGTGTTGCTTGGTTTTTCGTATGATTTCATCGATTCAACATGACTTGTAAAATTAGTCGTATAAAATGTGCCTTTTAATGTTCTAACCAGCTCCCTTTCCCTTACTATTTCGGGGCAAAAAGTCCCCGATTTTCTTGAAAAGCCACGCTTACTTAACAGTCCCTAAAAGTCCCCAATTTTGGTTTTTCATAACTGGCAAACACCCTGGCAAAGTTACCATAAGAGTTCATTAGGAATATAGAAAATAAAATACAGCATGAAAATAGCGTTACATTCTTGAAGAAAAAAATTAAACATTAATAAAATTTCAAAGAGCTTTAATTACATTGATAGAGTGACAGAGAACTTGGTTCTGGCTCCATTCAGGGGCTCAGTTATAAGACCTGCAGGATTTTCTTTACTGGGTACACATTTTAAATTCACCTTCCCCTTTTGACTCATATCCTTGATGTAACAGTTTTTTAAGTCGACATGCTTTATCTTTTCAATAACTTCCCACGTCTTACTCATAGAGGTTGCTGTCTCATCGTCAGCAAATAGTGAGTATGGTTCGGGGGCATATTTTTCCACTCCTAATTCAAACAAAAATATTAATGCCCATTTTATTTCTTTAACAGCTTCAAAAATAGCGTAATAATCAGCCACTCCTGTGGAGTCAGCTACACAAGACTGTTTCCTGACCAGCCAAATTATAGGACCTTTACCTGAGGTGGCTTCAACGTCAGAAATGGATTTTCTATCAATTTTGTTTTTTCCCAGATTTGAGTCAGAAAAGAATTTAATAGGCTCATGATTCTTTACATATTTTAAGATAAAATCTTTTGAAAATTTTAAATACCTCAACATGTGCCTAGTGTCTATCCAATCGTTAAGGGTTGGGCGTTCACATTTTTGGCTCACTTTACACACTGCAAAGCTGGTTTCAGGTCTAGTTGATTAAGAGAGGTGCATTAGGGAGCCAAAAGCCTGGTGACGTAATGTTTTTTGAAATTTTCAATGAGGGTTTCACTGTTTTGAATTTACTATTCCTAAGAAGTTAAAGATTACTATGTCAGGAAGAAGTGTAGTAAATTAATTTTTAGCAAATATGGACTATGCCATGAGAGGTGCTCGAGATGTGGTGGCCCTAAGAAGGGCCGTTGGGAAGAGCGAGCCGGCCGGCTGCATGAGGTCCGCTGCGTGCTGTGCGACGACGTGAGTCCCGTGTGACGTCCGGGCGCGGAGTCACAAGTGAGATGAGCTCGCGGCTAGATATAGCCGTGACAGCGTCGAGCTCCAGCCAATGAGCTGCGCTGGTTGGCGGAGTGGTGGCTAGCCGCCACAACACTCCCCTTGGGTGAAGACGGAGTCTGCATGGTGAAGGACGAGAAGAAGTGAGATGTTGGTAGTGGGCCACTAGCGTGAGTGTCAGCAGACCGGGGAAGCCTCCAGAAAACCCGGGTGACGAAGTGATGCTGCGTGGCAATCATAGAGTACAATAGAGTCGCAAAATACTGGATCGTCGATGAAGTCACTTTTGGAGGCTGTTTTGTCCAGTTCTCCGGAGACTAGTGTGCGGTGACTAGCGATGACGCATACGCAGAGACTCGCGCTCGGCGCTCCCCACTCCCGACTCGGCTCCGTTCGTCGGCTAGGTCTACACAGCACACACATTGAATCAGCTAAGTAGGCCGGTAATAAGTCTGAAATTGAGCCCATATATGAATATTATCTAGGAGTAACATACATTAATGGATTCATTATGGCTTTGACTATCCAATTATGGCATAATTTGCACAAATTAATATCGATTGAATTAAAAAATGTCGAAAAAACACAAGCAGTCGTTGCTTTTCCCGTAAGCCGCCGTGATAAGAAATGCCGGTTGGTTCACACTTAGTATAAGTCAGAAATGAAATCCCAATATGAATATTATCTAGGAGTAATATACATCAATAGATTCATTATGGCTTTGACTACCTTTTAATGGCAAAATTTGCAAAAATTAATGCTGATTGAATTATAAAATGTCGAAAAAACACAAGCAGTTCTTGATCTCTCCATAAGCCGCCGTGTTACAAAATGCCGTTGGGTTCACACTTGGTTCACACTTTTCGGAGCACACGCGGCTCGGAAACACCTGTTCATGGATTGGCTTCATCGGCGCTCCAGTACTTTGCGACTCTATTGTACTCTATGGTGGCAATGCAAGCAAGTTTATATTAGTTGTACATAGTTTTCAATCAAGCTCGTATACACTAATGTGCCAGCAATTTGACTGATTAACGGAACAGACATAATTTTTAACAATTAAAGGAGTTGAATGGAAACTGTGGCCTAATTGCTCAGTCAGGTATTTTCGTAATCGCCTCTTGAGAATGGACGTAGTCAACAAGAAACCTATGCAGTATTGATAGAATGAGATATTTTTTTCAGCTTACATAGGATGGATTTTATGTTTAAATAGTTCACAAAACACTTGAACAAAAACTGAGTACACACCTTCATTTTTCTTTCTGCTAGGGCTGGAAGAATGGTCGGCACAGCTGTAGGAAGCAGATGGATTCGTCCAGAGCTATGGATCGGTACCATAAACCTTTCCTCAAAATGAATCTCGCACACTGTGCTGGATTTTGTCGGTGTCTTTGCTACATTCCAATACCCAGATTTTTTGTCAGCCTCGCGGATTGC